AGCATGTACGTGATCCAGGTTTTTATGCTATCTAGTAAATTAATATTCTATTTAATATTGCTTAGAGACTATGAACTCATATATTCCTATATTCTATCCTATATTGATAAATATGTAATGGTGTAATTTAAATATTAGAAACATTTCTGTTCTGTGGGATTCTCCAGTTAATATATTCAACAGTTACTGATCCCAGTTTGATACCTGCCTACTATGAATGAAAGGGATAAAAACCAATTTAAAATGTCATTAGGAATATATAAGCATTTGCTCATCATTTAATAAAAAAATTTTAAAAAGAAGAAGAAAACCTACATTTACAGTACAGGTAAATTTGTGGTATGTTACTATTCTGCAAAACAATAATGGAAGGTAAAGAAGGCATTCACTCTTAATACCTCAAGTGCCTATTTTGGCTCCCAATATCTGCATTCAAAAACGGGTAATTGAATTTCCCAAGCAAAACTAAATGCAGCCTCATAGCAAAAATCTGCTGGAATTATTTAATGTGATGCTGAATGGACTTTCGATAAGAAATGCTCATACAGAATATTACCTGTCTGTCCTACAGATATATTTAGGTAACCAGAAAACAACTCAAGAGCAGTATGCAAATTCGATTTTCTGGACTACGTAAACGCAATGATTTCTCAGGGGTGTGGGCAATTTTACCAATCTGCACAGATTTTTCTTCTCCATTAGAAAGAAAATTCTGTCAGAAGGAGATGGCATTATGGATAAAGTATAAAGAATTCTATTATGCCTCCTATTATCAATGAGGAATGAGAAGGTTTGACTGGTTAAGCACATTTAGCCATCACATCTTTTAGTATGAAATATTCAGTTAAACCATTCTTCAGGAATATTTTCAAGAGCAATTATCATTTCACAGTCATATTCTAAAGTCAGATTAATGACTTTAAAATCTTCTAAAATCCAATTGTCACAATTTCTCGTTCACATGCTTTGTTTTTAACTTATTTTAACATTATTCAATTGTCATAAAATAAGTCAGAATCTCCATATGGATGTTTAATAACAATTTTATAATAAAATTAGTTGTGTTGTCCATCCCTCCTATAATTATAGAAAGAATACCATTGGCATTTGTTAAAAGCAACACTTAAGTGATTGAATTTCCATTGCTTTGCCTTCTTTTCAGGTAATCAATCATTTTAGGAATGGGTAGGGTAAACATCTTTGTAACTGTATCAGCTTAAACGTTTTTTGGCTATCTGAAACTTCCCACCATACAGAGTGCTGTCCATCAAACAGCCATCTGAATCTATGTCAGAAATCTTTTTCTTTTTAAAAGATCTTACCTATTTTTTTTTTTTTTTGAGAGAGAAAGAGACAGAGACAAAGACAAAGACAGAGAGAGCATGAGCAGGAGAGGGGCAAAGGGAGAGGGAGAAGCAGAGTCCTCAATGAGCAGGAAGTCCAATGCGGGGTTGGATTCTAAGACTCCAGGATCATGACCTGAGCTGAAGGCAGATTCTTAACTAAGCCAACCAGGCACCTCCAGGAATCTCTTTTACTTAAGTGCAATATACATTACCTTAAACAGTGGTTGGATTAAAAGAAAATTTAATATTTAATTACATTTTTCACAAACTTATGTCCAAAGTGTATTTTTTGGTCAAGACTTGAGAATGCTAAATTTTAATCATTTAACGCATGTTAAAACAATCTCTAAAGTACTCAAGAATTTTTAGACAACAGTGAGTTTTATTTCTTTTATAATATATCAAACCAAGGGACTATTTTTCACATGAATGAGGGTTAAACCATTTCTGTCATAGGTTATTAAAGGAATGTAATCATTATATTGTAGGCTTAGTGGCACTAAAAATAAAACATTTCACAGTATGTAGTTTGTATCTCAAACTTGTTTTGATTTCTGAAATTTCATAATTGGTTCACTACAGTTTCATCTAGAAATAATCACTCATCACATACTTATTTTTAATGAAAAAGATAGGATTTGAAAGGAAGAAACAAAAGGAACACCAGAATGGGAGAAAACAGAATATACATCCTTAACACCATGGAAAAGGCAGAGAGCTGTGCCTGGAGATGAAGCCTACCTTCAATGTGTGTGATTATTTCCATTGTGCGGTCCTATCTCTCTCACTCCACGCCTGGCATTTTATGTAAACCCAGAGAGTCCTAAGTCACCCCAGAAAATTCGACCTTTCTCAGCTCTTTGAACTTATGTCTCTGTATTTAGTCAGAATGAACTATCCTTAACTGCTTAGTATCTGATAAGTAACTTAAAGCCCAAAGGCCTCTGCATTTTATCAGCTGTCTGTATTACTACTTTCGTGCATTGTGATAGGAGAGGATTTGACACTCTCACTCATGCGATGAAAGCCTCACAAAAAAGGAAATGTGGAAGATTTTTTGGAGTCTGGTTTGTAGCCCTCAAATAATATCACCAACATGTTAATCTGCTTTTAAGAGAGTTAGAAAATAAGGAATGTTCTACTGGAAGCATTTGTGATCTGAGCCTTAATTGTCTACTCACAGTTGATTGGTCTATTTGGTCAATCTCTTTCTCTCTGCTAAAGTTTGAGGAAGGTCTTTTCTAATTTTCTATTATTTGTTTGTGTCTCACAATAAACTTCCTCTATGCCCACCTTACCTATGGGCCAAAAAAACAAACTAAAATATGGTTCCCCAAGTTGGCTGTATGTTACAATGACCTGAGGAACTTTAAAATCCTTATGCTTAGGCTGTACCACAGACCAACTAAACCAAATCTTTGGGGGTAGGACCCAGACATCCATATATTTTAAAGCCCTCTAGGTTATTCTAGTGTATGTCCACAGTTGAAAATCACTTTCCTACAAATTGGGCTTGAGACTTTGAATCATCTTAATTGTAAGATGAAGACTTTCCATAAAGAGACATTATCCCTTCTCCCTGCTTCCTATAGCTTATCCATCTCAATATACAACTGCTTTTGTCCTACAATCATGGCTTGATAAAAGTTATTCCTAAAGAACAACTCTGGAGGACTTTTTTTTAAGGTAGATTCCTTACCCAACATAGAGCCCAACACAGGACTTGAACTCATGCCCTCAGATCAAGACCTGATGCGAGATCAAGAGACAGATACTTAACCTAAAGAGTCCCTGAGGTGCCACTGGAGGCCCTTTTATTACCAGAACATTATATCCTGATTTTACAGGACAGTTATGATCAATGGATACTTCTGTAGAAATGACTACCTACCCAAACTAGGAGCTCTAAACTCTGTCAACCCACAAAAATTACTTGAGGATTTTTAAAATATAAATTCTCTAAGAGTGGGCCCTGATCCAGCTGAAAATTCCTAGTGCTCTACCTAATACTATGAAGGACACAGCTTAAAAAGTGAACATCCTCTTACTCCTTCTTCTTTTCTCTTCTTGTTTAAAATTGATGGCTTTACCTGATTTTGGTTATGGATGTTTTTCAAAATAATTAAACTAAGGTAGATTCCTCAAAATCTAGTATTTAAATGAATTTATTCAAGGGTGCTGAATCCTTGATTGGATACACACAACTTTCCAATTTAACAGGTATTTTTAGAGTGAATGGTTTAAACTATTTTTCTCTCATAATAAAAGAATAAAATGAATACAGAACTGTAATAAGGGTCTAAACCACTAATACAATAATTATATACAATATATGATATGGGACATTTCTTTTCTTGTCATATATCATTCCTCCTTCTTCTCTAAATTATATTCTCATAATTTCAATACTTTACCTGAGTTGAAGATCTGTCTTCAAAAAAAGTTATCATTATCATTCATCTAATTTCTACTTCTATGATTCAGTTTAATTGATCTGGGTGTACCTGGAATCCTTATTCTCTAAAAGTTCTTTAGGTTATTCAAACGGATAGCCCAGATTGAGACCCACTGACCTTAACCTTGGATAGAAACTGCAGGCAGAGGAAACTATTTGTTCAATCAACAAGAATGAATGAATGAGTGAATGAATGGCTTCCTTATGGCTTTGAATAGGTAAATATTGACAAGTGCATATACCTCAGAGTGAAGACCAGTAATATTTTGAAACATTTAAAACTGTTTAGGGAGGAGATGTTCAGTGTGGTACCTGATGTGCACCAGAGCTATCGCTGGTCTTCCATTTGGTTTTTCTTTAAAAGAAAACCGTTTTTTCTACCTTATTTTTCACTTTATACATAAATGGTCAGTAGCACAGTGAACAGTACTTCATCTGAACAGTCCTGGATTAAAGCAAAATAAAAAAATGAACTTGCTTCTGGCAGGAAGTAAAATGTTTCAGAGTACACGGCCCCCTGCCCAGTGCCTGTCAGTTCATCCAAGCCCTATTGGCAGTAGACCTTTTCACATGTTGTCCTTTAAAGATTCAACTAAATATCTTCAACAGAAACAGTCTGAGGCAAGTAAGAGTGAGAGAGAATAAGGAATGAAAACCTAAGTCAGGAATTTTTTTTCTTTCTATTTCATTAACTCACGGTCCAGTATTTTGGTACAATTTGTACCATTTCAGATCTGTACTCCAGACAAAAATATATTAACTTGAAATGTTGTGTTCAAAGAAATTCTACTATTCTATTATCATTAAATTATTTATCTAACTTTTTTCCCGCAGGTCTCCACAGTTTTATTAGGAGATGTTGTTTTCTGTGAAATATACCAGAAACCAGGGAAAGGGCATATCCACTTTGCAAGATAAAGGTTTTCATTTCTGCCACTTAGGAACGGCAGGGGCTGGGGCAGGGTGCACTGGAATTCAGACCCATTTCCCCACTTTTTGGGCTTCACTCACATTTCTTTTCTTTGTCAGCAAGCACCAGAGAACACAAACACAAAGACAAGAAAGAAAAATGGAACGATCAACCTTCAGGCAGGCCACACCCAACCTTCACCTCCCCAGACTGCGAGCCAGGACTTGGAGGGGCTGGGGTCACAAATCGGCCGCTCAGTTCTGTGTTTGCCTTTCTGACAATGACTCACCCAGATGTTCCCATCCTGATGACAGGGCTTCCAGTTTCTCCCAGTGTCACTGTACAGCATGCGGTACTGGGTCACCCAGTCTGAGCTGCTGTATCTTCCTTGGGTTGCAATGGCACTGATCTGCTTCCGATTGCCAAAGTCAACCTGAAGCCATTGATAATGGTCACTGTCAGATGGAGACCATCCCCCAGCACCTGAAGAAGGTCGAGGCAAGAGAGGAAAATGGATATTTAGAGTTGAAGCTCTACAATTGACGATGGATTATGCCACATCTTTCAATTGGCCTTAGCAGTGCAACATTCTATAGATACATTATGGAATGTCCTTGATAGATGCCACTGGGACTTCAACTAATATTCTTCCAGCTGGGTAACATTGATACTCTAACCTCTTTATAGTGCAATTATGTGCTCATTTTCTCCTGAGCAAATGTCTTCATAATTCCTCAATTAGATCTTATTAGTCAAAGTCTAATTGGCTGAGGGCTGATCAATTTACCATGAATTCTTCAACTAAAAATCATAGGAAAAAAAAGTAACGATTTATTAATTCCTCATGTGAGGTTTTGTTTGAGTAGATTATAAATGAAACAAAAACCAATTATATACAACTCTAAACTGTCTTTTGCGTTAAAAAGTTCAGAGTTCGAAGAATACCAGTAGTTCTAAAGATGAGGTCTAATCTTACCTTAAGCTGCATACTCATACTTATGAGAATGAATATGAGAATATGTACTCAGGTATTATACTTGCTAACACTTAGGAGGCATACAACCCATGGCTCTTGATAACCACATTTTGAGGAAATCAATTTCAGTAACTAAATGAAATAAAACTTCTTTTGGTAAAATATAAAAATTGTTAAATAATAAAAGCAATTAAAAAAATAACATTAACATAGGAAAAAATACTCTTAGTTTATACCACTATATAAAATAACTATGGTTGCATGTAGATATATTATGGAAAATATGGCATAATGCTTAGTGCTAAGGGGAAATATAATTTTTTGAGTGAGTCTGGCTACTAATGGGAGTAAATGGTCAAAAAGTATTCAAGAAAGTATCCCATATACAGTATATCTGTATCTGTATCTATCTGTCTATCTATATAGTACTTTGCAAATAAAAAACTTAAGTGACAATAAAATAATTTATTCTATGAGGACTGTGATAATAGAAATCATTTTGCAAATCATCAGATATATCATTCATTTAATGATGTTTACATGGCTTGTTTCTACTTTCAGCTATGATAGAACACCTCTCCTGCCATAAAAAAAAATCGCAAAATTACAAAATGTATAATTCCTTTGTAGGGGTTAGAAAATAGACAATACAGGATCCCTGATCCCAAGAGAAGATGAACAAATGAGGTGACCCCTGCCAGCTTCCTGACTTTCTGCCTCATTCACTTTCTGGATTATGGCACATGAAAGAGCATCCCAGAGTACAACAGTGTCCTTGAGATGGAGATGTATCAAAATCAAAGCTCCTGAGGAAGCTGGCTTTGGTAGGACAAGTGCAGGGGGCAGCTGTCAAGAGGAGGAGCTCTGGAAATCTGCACAGGAGCACCAGTGAGCCTCTAGACTCTAGGCTCTGTATGAATTGGAAGCTGTGTATTTGCAGACCAAGACTCCACAAGACCAGGGAAAGGTCATTATGAAATGAACAACCACCAAAGGGAGCCCAGGGCTGGAAGTAGTCTAACCTCACACCGGAGAAGATTGAGAGAAGTCGTCGAACAAGGCTAGGCATTCAGCAGACATGTCAGAAAGATTAGACTAATTTAGTCCTAAACCAAAGGCTACTCTGGGCACATCTGAATAAAGGTTGGTAACAAGCCTGAAAGACGACCAGTCTGACCAACAATCAAACCAACTCCTCGCTCAGATGAGACTCGACACTTCATTAAGGAAGGCCGTGAAAGTTCAGAAGCTCAACAACATAGCATCTATAATGTCCAGTATAATTTTTTAAAAAAATATTAGACGCTTGGGGGAGCAGGCAAAAAATGACCTAAACAAGAAAAAATTCAGTCAACAGAAATAGTCTGTAAATAACAGAGATGATGAAATTAGCTGACCAGGACTCTAAAACTGAGCTTATAAATTAGTTCCATTCTTTGAGAGAAAAATATAAAATGTTGAATGAACAATATGAGATATTAATGGGGAAAATATCAACCAAAGAGAACAAAATGGAAGTCTCTGAAATATATATAAATATATAAATATAAATATAAATATAAATAACTATATAACTATATATAAAACTATATATATAACTATATAACTATAACTATATATATATATATATAAAATTGGGGGTGGGGCAAGGAAGAAAATAGAGGAGGGAAGAGAAAGAAAGAATCTTAAGCAGGTTCCACACTGAGCATGGAGCCTGATGCAGGGCTCAGTCCCACAATCCTGAGATCATGACCTGAGCCAAAATCAAGTCAGTCACTTAAACAACTGAGCTGCTCAGGTTTTTCTCTGAACTATTTTTATACCTGAAATAAAACATGTACTGGATAGGCTTAGCAGCAGCTTAGAAACTGAGAAGAGAACATTAGTGTACTTGCACACCAGGCTGCATAAACCATTCGAATGGAAGGTCAGAGGAGATAAAAGGCTTAGAAATGGACAGTGCTCCAGTGGCCGGCAGGATAATATTAAGTGTCCTAACAAACAAGCAAATGGAGAACTGAAATCAGAGAAGGTAAAGATTGGGGGCAGAAAAAAAAATACATTTTTTAAAAGATTTTATTTATTTATTTTAGAGACAGAGCTCACAAATGGGGTGGGGGGCAAATGGGGGGTTTACAGAAGCAGAGAGAGAATCCTAAGCAGACTCCACATCAAGCCTGGAACCCAATGCTGGGCTGGATCCCAGGACCCTAAGATCAGGACCTGAGCCAAAATCAAGAGTTGGACACTCCACTAACTTAGTCACTCAGGTGCCCCTAGTTTGTTTATTTTCAAGTGAGCTTGATGCCCAGAGTGGATCCCTAAACAGGACTTGAATTCATGACCCTGAGATCCAGACCTGAGCTGAGATCAAGGATCGAACATTTAACCCACTGAGGAACCCAAGCACCCCTAAAAAATACATTTGAAGAAACAGTGGTTGAAAATAGTAAGCCCAGCTATCTGAGGAATTCAGAGCTACAAGCGGGATCAATACAGAGATAAACACACCAAGTCTCATCCGGAATCAAATGGTAAGAAAAACAGTGCTAATGAGAAATATCTCAAAAGTAGCCAGAGGGCAATAACATCTTAGCAAAAACAATGCAAAACAAAAGACAACAGAATGGCATTTGAATGAATGCACTGAATGAATTTGAATTGTGCAGCCCTGTATTCAAGTATACTAATGTTCTCAGTTTCCAAGCTTTTGCTAAACCCATGCAGTACAGGTTTTATTTTAGGCATAAAAACAGTTCAGAGGGAAGCCTGGGCAGCTCAGTTGTTTAAGTGACTGACTTGATTTTGGCTCAGGTCATGATCTCAGGATTGTGGGACTGAGCCTTGCATCAGGCTCCATGCCCAGTATAATTCCTCTTGAGGAACTTCCTGGGTGAAAAAGAGGCACTGTATCCAAGGGCATGCCCCTTCCTGGGGTTGTACACTTGCAGTGACCGGTCCACCAGGAGTTTGAAAGAGCAGTCCTTCCGCCTGCCCCAACTTGGGAAAACTGGCGAGTCATGGTGGTCTGCAGAATTGGTCGAAGCCTCCACTGAGACTATATTGCATCTCACCTTCTCCTTCTGCCTCTTTCCACTTCATCCCTTTCCCTGCCACAAGTCTCCATCCCAAAAGTACTCTCTAATGAATTCCCTACATGTTCTTCTCCATCTTAGAATTTGTAACCTGGGGAATCCAGTCTGCAATATCTCCTTGGAACCACTCTTCTGATAATCTCACTAACAATGGGAGTTACTTGTCTCTGTCCGTGTGTGTTATCTATATGCTATTTTTCCCCTATTGTAGTATCTAATTTTCCTATAATCATCTATCATCCACATACCTACTTTACCTAGAATTCTGTAAGATGTTAGAGGAGCTGTAGATGAATTTCTGGGATAATAACATACCCCATCATCAAGAGATTATAAATATACCTTCTTATCTGTTAGATATATTGTTCCAAACTTAGGGGAAATTCTATAGCCACCTGCGTAGAAAATTCTATGTATGTATTACCAAAGCATTAAGATGATTTGGTCACTGGGGTAAATATGAAATTACTGCAATTACTGAAGAGGGGCGAATGTAAGCAATTAATTGTCCAGTAAAATTAGAATATTTCTCATAACTAGTCCTCAAAAAAAAATTCCAGTATAAATTTTCTCAAGTTACTCATTTTTTACTGCGTTGCAATTTTTTAATAAGGAGGCAATTAACATACCGCTACTTAATCCCATTAATCTCACTACTTCAAAAAGTAGAATTTAATGTCAACTTTAAGGGAAGCAAAATTCTAAAAGAAGGGAAAATATAAGTTAAAAGTTATTTCTTTGCAGAAGTACACGTGGAGAGAATAGTGATTAACCTCAAGGGGAGGGCAAATGTCAGGCTTTCATGAAGAACGTGGTAGAAAGATCGATGAAAAGTTTCCTATTTTTCTTTGATCTATAAAGCAGTGTAATTTGGGGAAGTTGATTACTTTGTTCATTTAGCTTGTGAAATGTGTAGCCTCTATTGATCCAAGGATTAAGGATGATAACTCTTTCATCACAAAAACCTCGGGAAAATGGTATATAAGAGAGAAGTGTTCCCCAACATATTGCGGAGAGTATGAGAGAGCAAATGCATTCCCAATGGATGTTGCGATAGCTCAAAAGAAAAAATCTCCAAAGTTGAAGAGAAGGTAGAGGAGGTAGAAATAGTGAATAGTCATGAACTCTTAGTTTCTAAGAGGACAACACTAACTCTTACTTGGAAATAACAGAACCAAAAATATCAGCTGATAACTAGTAAGTTGTTAGCATGAACTGAAAGATGTGCATTTATATAAAACTCTTACCATTCCCTAGACAGGAAGAATGCTATTCCCTCCCTTTCTTTCTCTCCCTCTCTTCTTCCACTTCCCTTCATCCCTCCCTGTCTTCCTGTCTTTCTCTTTTTTCTTTTTTTCCCTCTCTCTCACATGAATATACCCATTGTGTGTGTGTGCATGTGTGCGTGTGTA